AAACAATTCGTGCAAAACAATTTTCTTCCAAAAATCTATTTTTTTTTTAATACTAGTATCAATAATCATAGAAACATTCGCGTTTTTTTGCATTAAATTGTTAATAATTAAAAAACACCTCCAAATTCAAAGCAAAAAAAGAAGTAGGTTTTCTTCCAAGAGGTCTACAATAACTAAAAAAGTTGTCTGGATTATTGAGTGTCACGAACATGGTCTATTTTTTGCTTATTTTCCTGGAGTATATATTTGATTAATATCTGTGTAATTTCTTTGTCGCTTCCTCGCTGGTTTTGCATATTGCTATGATAGCAATATCTTCGGTAAATGTTGCAATTGTATATTTTCTAGGACAATAATATAACACGTATACAAAAGGTAAAGACACTTCTTTGTGGCAGCCCTGCTGTAATATCTGTCAATTCCATGTATGTTTCTTCCTGTTTAATTCTGAAATATCTTTCCAAGATGGAGGAGTCAATTATTTGAGAGTATCGTTTTGGTAAATGTAGTCTTAGTTTATAGTTATGGCGTCTTTGCCATACTTTATCATATACCTGAGTCACATCCTAAATTATTGATATAAGGTTGAATGCTCGAATAAATGAACTTTAAAAAATGAAGGCAAATTTTGAGCACAAATTTAATAATCTAATCTTGCCCAAGTACTTTCGCTTTCTACAGCATCATCAGGGGCATCTGCGCTTGCTGGATAGACCAAATTTGACGAAGTAAGTCTAAAATGTTAATCACAAAAAAACTTTTATCATCCATTAACTTCGAGTTTTTATCGAAGTTTATTAATTTTCTTCATTTAAAAAAAACTTTTCTTGGCTTATTTCAGATTCCCTGATGATGCTGTAGAAAGCGTAAGTACTTGGGCAAGATTTGATTATTAAATTTGTGCTCGATATTTGTCTTAATTTTTCAACGTACATCCTAAAATGTCAAAATGTCCATCATATTATCCTTCATGATACATATTTCACATCCATATAAATAGTTATACAGTATATTTCATCATCATCATCATCATCATCATCAATGGCCCTACAACTCTTCGTAAGTCTTTGCCGCGGTTAATATTGCCTTCCATGTTTGTCGGTCCTGTGTCAGTAATTCCCATTGTCAAATGGAAATTACTGACAACAAATCCCGTCCCAGCAAATTAAATCCTTAATTGTAAATTTTTGAAATAAGTACTCAGTATACATCTAAGTTTCATAAATGCTCCTCATAAATCTCATAAATCTAAACTTTTGTACTCCGTTCTTTGTTGACAATTAGTTGCATAGGGCCGACGTTTACTAACCACAAGCACACAAGTAAATTATCTTATTTCTTTCATTTGACAATAATAATTGTCTGTTAGATTAGCACTGTAAGAAGTAAATTAGTCTCTTACTGAATGATAATAAACAACACATCAAACTTATTCTGAAACTATTTCTTGTGTCATGGTATATTTTATTAAATTTTGGTGTAATAAATCACAACCTATCAAATTCAATATCAAACATCAAAATTGGAAATGATAGCGTGACTAAATTATTCCTTCCTTCAAGAAATTTTAAAAAGAACTGATTTCTATTACTATCCAGTGCAAGGACAGTTATTTTGTTATTTATATCGAATAGAGAATACTGTTAGTTTGCGGTATGGACCCCAAAAAATATTTTATTCGAAAAGATTGATAAATATATGGAACTGTGGGAAAATATGCTACAAAAATTTCAAGATTTTTATTATAATTTTTATTTGAAACACCTTCTGAAGAAACATTAGACATAATTCTATATTTATATAGTTTCATTTTATCAATTTTAATGATCGTGATACTAAATAGATAAGATTTTTATTATAATTTTTATTTGAAACACCTTCTGAAGAAACATTATACATAACTCTATATTTAGTGCGTTTCATTTTATCAATTTTAATGATCGTGATACTAATTAAATTTTTATGATATATAATAATAATTTTTTTTTATAATTTTTATTTTCCGTAAACTTTAATCTACGTTAAACTTCAGACAGCCAATTTTTTCGTAAAAAAAATAACAAATAAATTATGTATGTACATTTGTTACATTGTAAATTTATGAATAGATTATATTACTTTGATCTGTTATTATATTTACTCAAAATACCACTAAAGAGATTTATGGTCTTATTGTAAGCCAAAACCTGTCACTGCAGGGGTTGTCACGGTTTATAATCGGCTCGAGTAAAAGGTAAACGCATTTTTGACCTGGGCTTGAAAGAGATCTAAAAGAAGTTTAGAATATTACTTCATGAACAGATTTTGTTTTCGTAAAGAAAGAAATTTTTGAAATAGAGATAGCAAACTGAAATTTACCGTTAGAATTTTCGAGGATAAGCCTTAAAAGTACAAGTCTACTTATACTACTAGGTGCAGTTTGTCTGACAAAGCTAACCTCAAATACACACGTGTATTGTATTTGTTTACATCGTTTTGTTCGTGTTCGTGTATAATAATAATGGGAGACTTTACCGCCAAAATTTGGAAGTAAGGTTAAAGACTGTGAAAGCAAGATTGAAAATTTTGAATCGGCACAAGAAACACAAGAGGAAAAAAACTCATGGAATTCCTGGAACAAGAAAACATGTATGTTATGAATACCTTCTACAAAAAGAAACCTAACAGAAAGTGGACATGGGTCGCACCTAACGGAACTACCAAAAATGACTATTTTCTCTCAAACAACAAAGGAATATTTGAAGACGTCTCAACAATAAACAACGTAACAACGGGTAGTCACCATCGTATAGTCAGAACAAATATAAATATTAACATGGAAGAAGAGAGAAAAAGGATTTTTAAAGAAACAACGAGAATATATGCCTTTAAAACTAAAAACAAATGAATAGCAATTCCGAGAGGTCTTAGCGGATAGGTTCGAATCTAATTTTTCACATAATCAAGACCAAATTGACGAGATTAATAAAAACCCAAATAAAAAACCTTCTCGCAGCAGGACTACAAGTCGCAAAGAAAACAAGAACTAAAGAAGACAAAACAATCAATGAAACTAAACAGCTAATGACGTAAAGAATACAACTACTAGCGAAAAACAAATGCCATACTCAAGAATATAGAGAACCTAATAAAACAATTAGAAAAGAACTAAAACGCGACATACAAAAATGGAACGAGAACAATAGAGCGAGTCATTGAAAACAACAGCGGCTTAAAATGTCTAAGACCCGCACTGAAAGTTTAAGAAATCATCAAAATTAAAGACGCCAACAATAAGGTAGAGAAGGGCAAATATAAAATAACAAATATTGTCGAAGACTTCTACACATCCTTGTACAGCTCGCAAGGCCAGCCTAATGAAACAACAAAGGAGAACGTCAGAAGAAAAATAAAAAACGTAAGATCAGAAGCACTATCAAATATAAAGGGATACGAAATAGAAAGAGCTTTAAAAGAACTAAAAAATAATGAAGCTCCAGGACACGACGATATAATTGTCGAGCTCTTGAAAACATGCAAGACATTAACAATCCCTGTACCAACAGAGCTATTTAATAAATGTCTCCATAATAGCCGGATCCCTAAAGACTGGAACGAGAGTCTAGTAATACTCTTACACAAAAAAGGGGACAAATGTGATCTACAGAATTATATCGTTGCTCAGTCAAGTATATAAACTATTTATGAGATTTATTAAAAACCGGTTAACCTACAAAATGGATAATTACCAACCGGTCGAACAGGCTGGCTTCCACAAAGGATATAGTACATCAGATCATCTGCTGACAATGAGAACATTGATAGAGAAGGCAAATGAATACCAACTACCCGTATTTCTTATTGTATATTTCTTATTGTATATAATTGTAGAATAAATTCGAGATATAGGCAACTAATACAGAATAATATATATGAAAATGCAACTATGATAGTACAACTAGACGAAAATAAAAATCCCATCCCCATTAAGACAAGAGTGAGACAAGGAGACGTAATATCGCCAAAGCTTTTCAACCTAGCCCTAGAATATGTCTTCAAAACTACAAATTTTTCCTCTTATGGCATTCTTCTTCTTCTTAGTCGTTAACCTGATGCAGGTATCGTGATATCATGAAGCTGTTAGGTAATTTTTCCAAGTTAAATCACCTCAGATTCGCTGACGACATAGTGATTATAGCGAGCCCATTCGAGGAACTGCAAATTGTGTTAGGGGAACTAGCAATTTAGCCAACACGTCGACCTAAAAATGAATATGAAAAAAGCAAAAGTAATGACAAACACAGATGACCACAGACATATAACTATAAACGACAGTGAGATCGAACAAATCCAGGAATCTATCTACCTAGGCCAAATCCTGAGACTTGACAAAGAGAACCAAAGTGCAGAAATTACTAGAAGAGCAAGACTAGCATGGGCAGGATTTGGAAAACTTAGTTGGATACTTAAGAACCGCAAAATACCCCAATACTTGAGGAGCAAAGTGTTCAACCAATGCATCCTTCCTATCATGACATACGGATATCAAACCTGGACCCTAACCAAGGCAAACATGAATAAACTAGCCACATTAGAAAGAACAATGAAAAGAGCAATGTTAGATATACGACTGTCAGATAAAAAGAGGAACTACTTGGTAAGATCCAAAAAAAAGTCGAGGACATAACAACAAAAATTGCCAAACTTAAATGGAGCTTCGCGGGCCACACTGCTAGACAGAAAGACCAACGTTGGAATACTACAATACAACATTGGAGATCTTACGAAAGTAAACGACCACGAGGAAGACCACAGATGAGATGGTTTAATGACCATTAAAAGAATAGCCGGAACAAATTGGAAATATGTTGCTCAGGATAGAGACCGATGGAAGGAGTTGGGAGAGACCTATGTCCAAACATGGACGACAGAAGGCTAAGAAGAAGAAGAAGTGCGTGTTATTTGTTTTAATATATAATTGGAATTAAACTACGAGAGGTGCTTCAAGTGTAGTCTAGAAAATGTCTTATTTTGTAAAGAGAACCGATAAAATTATGGGTCTTCTTCATGAAGTAAATAAGGGTTCAACAGCAAGTAACAAATAAGGTAGGAAAGTTTTTATTTACGTTACGGTTGCTACGCCATATTATCCACAATCATACTAATTTATTATTTTTATATTTTTGCAGAAGAGAAACCCGAAAGTACTGAAACAAATGTAATCTAACTAATCGATATTTCATCTGATGAAGTGATTTTCGTCTGTATGTATGTTTTATTACTAGTGTGGATTAGGCATTTAACTTTATAATGTATGAGCGCCAATTACAGCATTTGTATTCTCTAGTAGGTACCTAAAAACTTTTTATTATTTTAGAAAGTATTATTGATTATACAAGTGTTGACCAAAACGTAATTATAATCAAAAATAATAATAATCTTATTGATGAACAAAACACTAGCAATACAACCAGTGAAGGTAATATTTTTCACATCTTGTCATAAATCAATTTATAGTTTTGTTCAAGTTATTGGGTAAATGATTTAATTCCTTTATCCCATTGTTTTACGTCAAGTAGCAGTAAAGTAAACATATACATGAAATATTATAATAATTGAATAGTAGAACCTACTAGAAATTCTCACCTGTTTAGGTTGGTCACTGTTGTGACATTAAAAATTAGTTATTTACCAAATAATTTAAAAATAACTGTACTTATATGTTACGGATTATGAATATTGCATTGACTATTTGATTTTTTTAGGTAACAGGGACAATGGAATTATTCATTTAGAAGGCACCGATGATGGAGGTTTTGACCTAACATTACCGAACGTTGATGAAGAATTGGTATTAACACCTCATCAAGAAAAAAGCCAACCCGAATTAGCGTTAAATGGTGATCATGTAGTTCAACATGATGCAAGTTTTACACTACAAAATACAGACTCGCAAAATTTGATGGATGATGAAGTGAATGTTATTCATCAAATTGCTGGCCCCTCTACCTCAAAACACAAATTATTAAGGTCATCCAACGAACACAAAACAAAAAATAAGTGAACCTAAATTTACTAGAAACATGAGGAAGGAGAAGTATGAAAAACGAAACAGTGACAAAAGTTATACTAATTTAAATGGAAAATAGGTGCGGTCGCGGGAAATAAAACCACTAACTTCTTTTTAAAGATGCTGAGATATGAACCTAGATATTTATTCCTATTTTATTGACTTCTAGAAGGCATTCGGCAGGGTCCTACATGAAAAACTAATAGAAGTACTGAGAAACAAAGATATAAACACATGAGACTTACGAATCATTATCAATCTGTATTGAATTCAAAAGGACAATATAAAGATAGAAGAACAAAAGTCCGAAAATATAGATATAAAGAGAGGAGTAAGACAGGGCTGTGTTCTGTCACCATTACTGTTTAACGTGTACAGTGAAGCCATATTCCAGGAAGCGATAGCGGATCTGGGTGATGAAATCTCTGTAAACAGAAGAATAGTAAATAACATCAGATTCGCTGGTGACACCGTTATAACGGCAGACATTCTGGAAACGCTACAAGAATTGGTAAATAGAATTAACGATGATTGCATTAGATACGGACTAAAAACAAATAAGAGAAAATCAAAATTTATGATTGTCTCAAAAACGCAACATGAAAATCAAAGATTAATGATAGAGCAAACCCAAATAGAAAAAGTAGAGACATATAAATATCTGGGAACCTGGGATGATGACAAAAATGACCAAAGTAGAGAAATCAAAGTCTGAATTGAAACTGCAAGGCAAGCATGTGTGAAAATGAAGACAATGCTTACCAACAGAGACCTTCAGTTGCATCTCAGATTGAGGGCTCCAAGATGTTACATATTTTCTATCTATTTATCATTATGACCAGGTACAATATCTGACTGTTATGCAAATTAGTAGGTAATTAGAAAGTCAGTATGGGCAAAACCAGCTTATTCAAATTATAGGTTTTACCTACCTTTAGTCTTGTATTGAAGGATTTTAATTTATTACCCTTAGCATACGTAAAGATATAAAAAACGAGTTATTTATCTCGTACTTTTTTTAAGCGAGACGCAATATTTAATTACTTAATATTATTATTGTTTAGTGAATAAACTTGAGAAGTCGCTGGTTTAATTGTATTGGATAAATAATTTTAACGAAAAATATGCAATATTAGATTGTATAGAAGATTAGCGAAAATAGCGAATATTTGTAGCAAATATATGTAAAATAAAATGAATTCAAATAACAACTGGCAGATTTTATATCTTATTGTCAATTCTATATGAGATTCACTTACCTTTTTGTCTATGGTTGGGCCCGGCTGGGGTAGGAATGAGATACACTGCGGTGGTGATCTGCTTGGCGCTTGCTTCCGTACAGGACGAGAGTTTTTTGAAGAATGGTCGATCATATGCAAAGGGGCACGTATATATTACCCCAAATCGACTAAAGGGTACTGTTTTTAGAGACCTCCGTGAATAGCCGTAAATTAAACTTAAACTGACATTCTTTACTTGCTACACAAAGGCGGATACGTTTTCTTAAGGAATCTGAAGTGTTTTGGGTTGATATATGTTTCCCAAAAACATGTTGAATTTCAGACAAGTGAATTCTCAGAACTTGACAATAATTAATCAGCCAATTTGAGTTCGAGAATTTAAAAATAAACTAAAGCCATATTGCAATTAGGTAATATATTATGATTAAATAAGATTTAAAACTAAATAAGGTCATATTCGTAATAATAAAAATAAAATATTTAAATTACTTGACACTTTTCCAAACATTCTCCGCCCCAAAACGAATGTTTTTTAAGAAACAACTACAATAATAAGAATAAAAACGAACACTAAACTATAATAATAATAGAAATGAAGAAAGATATAGTTGTTAACAAATAGGTAGTCGACAGATCTTGACCACCGGACGTTGTAGGATGCCATCTGAAGCTGTCCTCAGAGTAACAACCCGTGCAATACCGTCGGTGCCATAATGCAACATGATGATTCTGGCCAACTGCCAGCGAAGAGGAGGCTGTTGTTCATTTTTTATGAGGACTAGCGAACCTTTAACGAGAGAGGGGGTTGGACTATGCCATTTAGATCGCTCTTGAAGAGAATGAATATACTCTTTAGACCATCTTTTCCAAGAATCCCCCTTTACCCTTTGAATTAACTGTCAACGATTCAGACGGTTAATCTTTAAAGCGCTTAGATCTGGATCGGGAATTGAATCCACTAAGGGTTCAAAAATCAAAAAATGACCAGGAGTCAGTGCCTGCAAATCATTAGGGTCAGAGCTTGCTGCACACAAAGGACGAGAATTAAGAACTGCCTCGATTTGAGTCATAAGAGTATAGAACTCCTCATAAGTCAAAATTTGTGTACCCAAAACACGATACATATGGTTCTTGAATGATTTGACGCCAGCCTCGGCTAACCCATTAAAATGAGGGGCACCGGGCGGATTAAAATCGCAGGTAATAGAAAGAGTCTCAGCAGCAGATCGAGCTAGTTTTATGATTTTGTTGCTGGCTCCCTCAAAATTGGTACCTTGATCACTCCTAATAGTTAGGTACTTACCGCGTCGAGATACAAATCTACGAAAGGCAGTCAAAAAGGACTCAGAACTAAGATTTGAAGTTACTTCCAGATGAATGGCTTTTGTACTCGTACACACGAATACACAAACATATCCTTTGTATGTTTTTGCACCTCTATGTTTGGACATTAATAACGAGAATGGTCCTGTAATGTACCTACCTACTCACATGTAAGATAATTAAAGTATCTATGTATTTCTATATAGTTTTTAGTCACCTGGTATATGTTATTTACAATTATGAAAAGTTCTCATGTATAATCACTAATAATTATTTGCTGTTAGAAATCAGAATCAATACTCTTCATAAATATTTTCCTATTTAGAATAAATAAGTTTCGCTAGTTTATTCGCCTAATACTTCGTATCTATGGAATAATAATAATTTATTTCTCTTATTTCTTTGTTCGATAAGCTATCCGTATTTGCTATTTTAATATTAATATTTGAGTCCAATCTCTTGTACTCAAATCCATCCAGAAACATCGTTAAATAATTGTAGATAACAGAACTTATAAATTCATAGTTTTAAGAAATAACAGGCAGTGTAATTTTCATCCTCTAATATAATAAATTTATACATGTCAATATATTCTGTTTAATTCCAAAACAAAGAGTTAGTCCGGAGAAGAAATAAACGCATAGTATTCCATAACAAAATTTGGTGTCAGAACGTGGGATATTAGTAGCAGAGTTCCTCTGATTGCTGATAGAAGGAGAGCTGAGGAATTTTTGAATTGACTTGTTTCCTTCGAGGAATCATTCAAAAAAACTGTCAGTGTGGAAAAATCGCCACTACAACTAATTACATTGGGGTCCAGTACATCCAGTTCGAAATCCAGTTCCAGTCATAACCCAATTGTAGTTCCATCGGAAGTAGAGGTGAACCCGTGGAATAATAGACTATGCGACCAACAACAATATTCTACTTGTAAGTACATTCTATCTTAAATTCTGTCTCATATTTTAAAAATCTTGTAAACGTATGTCTACTTTATATCCTGATATAAGTAACTTATTTGACGAACAAATACCTTCTCCCGACTCAAATTCTCTTTCAAATTCTTCTACTTCTAATTCAAATAAAATGTCAGTATCAATTGAAATAGCTGAAAAACTTCTCATTAGATTTGATGGTACAAAATCAAAATTATACGAATTCATAGACAATTGTGATAAAGCATACAATTTAGTAAATCCGCAATCCAAACCCATCTTATTAGCCATTATAGAAACTAAATTAACCGATAAAGCTAGGGCCATAACTAGAAACAGAACATTTGACGAATGGAAAGATTTAAAAGACTTCTTATTAGATGCTTATTCTGAACGCCGAACTGAAGGTCAGTGGCAATTGGAATTACATTCCTTACGTCAGATGCCCAGTGAAAATGTAATGTCATTTGCAAATAAAGTTGAAAATTGCTATATAAAATTAATAAATACACTTGATCCAGACTTATCTCCAGATGCAAGAAATGCATGTACTAAACTCTTAAAAACTCAAGCACTAAATGTCTTTATTAGAGGATTAAACAAAGACCTCTCTATTTTAATCAAAGCCCGAAATCCAGATTCCTTAGAAAGAGCTGTTGCTATAGCAATTGCCGAAGAACAAGAACAGTTATCAAGACAAGAAATTTTCAAACCATTCTGTAATATTTGCAAACGAAATAACCATTCCTCAAATAACTGTCGATATAAAAACAATTCAGATAGAAATGTTAGATATCTTCAAAATTCTAGTTTTCAAAACCCAAAATATCCTAATTCAAATCTTCAAAGGTCAAATTCTCAAAATCAAAATTATAAACCTTCAAATTCAAATTCCAATTCTGATTTTCCTCCAAACTTAAGAAAAGAAAATACCAACACTTCCCAACGTTTTTGCAGATACTGCAAAAAACCAGGTCACGTTATAGAAGAATGTAGAAAACGCGAATTTAACAATAAAAACAAAAATCCAACAAATTCTTTAAACTTCCAGAATCCTCGACAACCAACGGTCGATTCTCGAGGAGTTCGTTCAGTTCAGGCCGTATCACAACCATCAACTTCTCAGTCACTTCCTATGTAGATTTACCCTTAGTAAATAATTCTAATCCATCCTCTTGCAAGTTTCTAATCGATACAGGCGCAGATATTTCTTTAATTAAATATTCAAAAATACTAAACATTCCAAAAATTTATTCTAAGCCTATTACTCTACGAGGCATTGATAAAAATGTCTTAAATCCAAATAAAACTATATGTAGTTGTAACGTAAATTTCAAGATAAAAGATTTTGTCCAAACTCATGTTTTCTATGTCGTAGAAGACGATTTTCCTCTTCATTTCGACGGTATAT